TTTTTGATTTATTTTCAGTCCCTTTGTTTTGAACGAACGAATGTCTTTGTTACCAAGACACACACAGTGTGAAGGCACATTTGATCCAAACACTGAACGGGCGCCAAGGGTCCCCCGACGGTCACGGGAGGACGGGCAGGAGCCTTTGCCTCCCTGGACAGGGCTCACTGCACCGGCTGTCGCTTCTCTCTGCTCGTGGCTCTTTCATTATTTGGAACCAAATCGATGCAATGATTCCTCCTCCTCGAGGGAAATATTTTACTTTTTTCCCTCCCCCTTTAAACGGTGATTGAGTGCCAGTTGGTACCAGGCGATGACAAAGCAGAGGGAATGGAAGTTCCCGTGCGGACTCGGTGTCGTGGTGAGGGCGAAGGGCCACAGGACACACGGGGGTCCTGTGTGGAGCCGAGCGAGGGGCACAGCGGCATCAGCAGCGACAGGACCCGGGTAGCCCTCCGAGCACCGGGAGGGCGGCCAGGCCTGGCTCCCCACCTGCTGTCTGATGGCCAAACGCCCTGCTGGCCAAGGTTGTGTGTGTGTGTGTGTGACCATCTTAAGGGGTTACTGAGCACCCTGTCCTCAGAGCTACAGGGAGCAGCTGGTCCCACAGCACCTGCTGAGGGGGCCCCCCTAGAGGCCCGCCCACCCTCTGCCTCCCCCTCTTTCTAAAATCAGTAAAAACACTTCCTAGGGTGAGGATTAATAAAACACACCTTGAGACAAATGGAAATATGTCACAAAGAAAGGAATGCAGCACAAGAGTTTTTGGGGGAAGTTCATAGTGATACATGCTTACGTTCAGGAAAAAGAAAGATCTCAAATAAATAATTAACTTCGCACGTCAAGAAAAGAACACCTGAAGGCAGATTGGTAGGTGAAGGCAGTAACGGGCCACGGGCCACCTGCTGCCTATCCAGCCGTGTGGGGAGCCCCGCTGCTTCTCATTTTACTCGAGAGGCGGGAGAAACCAGAGGCCCTTGGGCGTGAAGTGCTTGCACAACCCGAGGACACACCTCTCCAGGGCCATGGCCTGAGTCCAAGTTGAGCAGGCAC